GATAATAATAATAATAGAAACACGAGTAAGTTGGTAAGGATGATAATAATAATAATAGAAACACGAGTAAGTTGGTAAGGATGATAATAATAATAATAGAAACACGAGTAAGCTGGTAAGGATGATAATAATAATAGAAACACAAGTAAGTTGGTAAGGATGGTAATGATAACAGAAATATGAGTAAGTTGGTAAGGATGATAATAGAAACACAAGTAAGTTGGTGAGGATGATAATGATAATAGACACACAAGTAAGTTTACCTAAGGATGATAATGATAAAAGACACACAAGTAAGTTTACCTAAGGATGATAACACACACACACAAGTAAGTTGGTAAGGATGATAATAGACACACAAGTAAGTTTGTAAAGATAATATTAATAGACACACGGGTAAGTTGGTAAAGATAATATTAATAGACACACGGGTAAGTTGGTAAGGATAATATTAATAGACACACGGGTAAGTTGGTAAAGATAATATTAATAGACACATACAAACATATCTTGGTCAGCTTATTATAGACAAGAATTAGCCTTAAATTATTTTGTCTTGCCTCTACTGTATATACAGAAGAGATACAGTTATACATTGTAGCTTCAGGTTAGCTGTATACACACGAGACATATCTTAAATATACTTTCTATATCTTCAGGTTAGCTCTCTACACAAGATACCCTAGATATATGTTCTCTCTATATCTTGACAATAGATATAAACACATTTCATTCATTGACTTTCTATTCATAAAGAAAATGTGTAGTACTTTAGCAAAACTAAGAACAGAAAAAAACGACATTGGGTCAGTTCCCTTGCATATGTACACTGCTTATGTAAACCAACAAACAACCTAAACTAAACACAGAGATGTATTTGTTCTTCTAGAAAACAAGTATTGTAAATTCACAAATAACTACCTGGAAAGTAGGATTTATATTTATATGTATTGTGTTTTATATCACACACACACACACACACACACACACACACACACACACTAATATTGTTATTTACTACAAGAAGTCTTTCTTTTTGTCTTTGTAGTGTACATACATATATAAATATGTATGTATATATATGTATATATATGTATATATATGTATATATA